ATGTCGAAGCTGGGGGTCAAAGGTCAAAGGTCAATAGGTATAAAAGAAGGGTGAACATTCCCTCCTTAACCTAAGGCAAAGCCTAAGGTATAGAGTGGAAATGCAGAATTGCGGCACGAATCTAAACGGCTCGAACTAGGCTCGTGATAGTCGGTGTATAGCATCATGGTAGGAAAAGCCATCACTGTGCCGAAATTGAAGGTCAAAGGTCAATAGGTATAAAAGAAGGGTGAACATTCCCTCCTTAACCTAAGGCAAAGCTTAAGGTATAGGGAGGAAATGCAGAATTGCGGCACAAATCTAAACGGCTCGACCTAGGCTCGTGATAGTCGGTGTATAGCATCATGATAGGAAAAGCCATCGCTGTGCCGAAATTGAAGGTCAAAGGTCAATGGGGCACAGGGCAGATTTTAGACATTTTCTGAGGACATGGTCTGACGGAGCGATTGAAAAACTTTTTTGTTTTAGAGGTGACCTAGCATTTTTATGGCTTTATTGAAAGGACCATGAAATGTACTTTCTGCTGACATGCGAAGAGTAAGTGTCAGATAACCTTTTGACCCTCAAGAGGAGGGTTAAACATGGATTTGTTTACTGTTAGAAAGAATTTGACTGCTGGGTTTGCTAGTAGAATCTAAACATGCCTGGAGGCTGGATGTATGAGGCTACAATGTCACAGTGATATTTCACAAGCTAAATTTGGTTGAAGAAGGTTTATGCTCATTAAATCGTATAATTTCTATGGCATTCTGTACTGTCAGTGTGTTACATGTAACTTATGCCACTAGCTGCCAGTGCATGTGGTGGTGATATAGTACTGTGTAGTTTTTGCCTGCGTTAATTATAGTTACAGGTGGCAGCTCTCTATTTCAGCCTGTAGACTTGCGTAGGTAAATGGATGAGTGCTTACCTATTCTGTCTTGCAAATAGTTGTTGCTACTACGTACGATGGGAGCTTCCATCTTTAATCTTAAGACACTTAAACGTACGCGCCATCTCGTGGAAACTTTCATAACGATCCCAACAAACATATTCCTTTGAGAAGGTTCCTGATACCATCCCTGTGCCTTCCACTGTTTCGGCGCGTTTGGGACTAACAGGGTTTACTAGAATCCCACCACTCCACCACAGAGTCACCGCAGCTAGTAGGCGTTAGATGAGCGCTGTCGCTCCGCGGCACTTAATTGTTTATTTTATCTACACTTACCCTTATATTTCACTTTTACTTATAGTTGACAAACGGGTCCACAGTTTGTTTGTGGTGGCAATTAACATCTCTATGCAGAATCACCCAATGCTTATGCGAATGCCTATGTAAAATCCTGTTTAGCTAAAATTTCTCAAAATCATATAATCGTTAATGCATTATATTTTGCTGAAATTATTTATTGTTAGCATTATGTCCCTAAAAGCACCATATATCACCATTTTTATGAATTAATTTGTAGCCGCAGCTAAAATCATTGCAACGTACGTACGCGCGTAGTTGAAATAACATGATTAAATAGACGTCGTTTTTATGTTGGCGACGTCGCAACCAAAATCCAACGTTGAAACAACGTAGTGTGCCTGCTGGGCATGTCCTCGCCAGGGGCGTAGCTACGCTCACGGGGCCGGGCCCTTCGCGGGCCACGTGCCCCCCCCCAACCACATCTTCTGTGCCCCCAGCTGCCCTCCCACTAAAAATTCATTGCTTGATAAAAAAATTGAATTAAAAACAATGCGTTAGAACAGTATAATACAAAGAAGAGGGTTCGAACCACATCTCAGTAAAATTATATATGTGCCCCCCCCACGAAAATATAAGGCCCCCCAGTGCCCCCCCCCCCCCCATGATAAAATCCTAGCTACGCCACTGGTCCTCGCGGTATGCCGGCTGTAGGTATAGTCATAAGCCTAATAAGTCATAAGTCATACGTCGACATTAAAATAGTCATAGTCATAGTCATAATTAGTCATAGTCATAAGCCTCGAGTTAAGCGTCTACACGGGGGTCTTAACTCGAGTTAGCTTAACTCGAGTTAGCTATAACCTCCGCCAGTCGATCGAGGCTTAAGCTTAACTTGAGTTACCTTAACTCGCAGTTAAGGACCTTGCTAGACGCCTTAACTCGAGTTAGCGAATAGTATACGTGCACACACACGGACCACGCACGCACGTGTACTGCCGCACTGCACGCAGCGCACGCAAGCACGTGCACACGCACGCACTCACGCATGCACGCACGTGTACGTGCACACGCACGCCACGAACGCAACGTGTACGTACACACGTACACACGCCACGCACGCATGCACGCACACACGCAGCGTCTACGTGCACATGAGCACACGCGCGCACGCCGCACAACGAACGGCACGCACGCACGCACGTGTACGTGCACATGCACACGCGGCAGCACGCACGCACGCACGTGTACGTGCACACACACGCACGTACGCACGCACGCACACATGCACATGCGTGTACCTGAACAAGCACGCACGCATGCACGAACGAGTACCTGCACACGCGCGCACACACGGATGCATGTGCACGTACATGTGCGTGCGTGCGTGTGCACGTACACGTGCGTGCATGCGTGCGTGCGTGAGTACTTACACGTGCGTGCATGCGTGCGTGTGCACGTACACGTGCGTGCATGCGTGCGTGCGTTCGTGTGTGTGCACGTACACGTGCGTGCTTGCGTGGCACGCATGCACGCACATGTACGTGCACACGCACGCACTCACGCATGCACGCACGTGTACGTGCACACGCACGCACGCACGCACGCACGCACACGCACGCACGCACGTTTACATACACACGCACGTACGTTTACATACACACGCACGCACGCATGCATAATAAATCGGTAATAATCGCTATCGGGTGTTGTCGTGTAGACGCTACATAATCGCTAACTCGAGTTAACGCTTAACTCGAGTTAGCTTAACTCGAGTTAAGGTTCGTCATGTAGACGAGGCTATAGACAGGGCCGGACTAGGAAAATTATTCAGGCCGCAAAATATATCGTGAATTTATATTGCGGTTGGCTGAGAGGTGTATCTGTCTACATCTATCATGCGAACAATGAGTGCCCCATCTACGTTATCCGAGCACGTGTTATGCACTCCCAGTCTCTGAATATACCGTCTCTCCATCCGTGGGTCATGATGAGAGAAAATGGAACTAAAATAAATACATTACACATTGACAGTCAATGACATTGTGTAGTTTTATCTTTAAAAAATTATTTATTTAACGAAGAACATGTTTCGCCCTGCCCTGGGCTCATCAATGCATCTTAGGTTATTTACATACATGTCGAAGTAAATTTATCTATACTTATTTATATACTTTATGAACAAATGTCAAGTGTATATATATGAAAACCAGGACACAGTATTAGCGCATCTATATACTTTGGCCACCTACGCGTTCCGCACACGACCACGACGAGGAAAGTACTGTATACTCAATATTTTTTCGCGTACAGATATTTTTGCAAATTCAGACTTGACAGACAATTTCGCAGTGGGTCGAATATGAATTATTCGGTATTATTATTCGGTATAAAATATTCTTGTGTTCTTATTTTTGCGGTCAGGGAAGCATTCGCAAAATTCACATAGATTAACACATATACATGGTTTAAACAACAAAACTAATTAAATGCAGGTTCACCTTAAATCCATGCCATCTGGCTTGACTAATGCACTGGTTTCATATACATAAGGCCCCAGAAAAACGAGCTAAGAAAGCTGAACACTGGGCAACACACACTGGTTTTCAGTCAAATGACACAACTGAGGGACACAAATTTGTCAGTGCACAACACACGGTCACCATTTTGTCCAAGATTGGGCTCTCGTCCTCTGATTTTGTGATTAGATAGTCAATTGGACATGTCGCCCCAAGAATTGAAAAATTCTGGCGCACAGTACGGTGAGTACCAATAACATGCTCAACGTCATCTCGGTCGGGCCATTGCACAAAGGGGGACAGAATCTTGTTCATGACGTTAATTATTTCCAAAAATACTTTTGAAATTGTAGATCGGGACACGCCAAAACGGTAGCTAAGGTCCACAATTGACAGGTTCAGTCGTAGGCGCATAAGTGTAATCATCATTTTTTGGAACTTGCTCAAAGACGAATTTTTTGCTTCACTTATTTCAGACGACAGCAGATTGAAAAGTGCCATTAGTGTCACAAAATTTTTTAAACCAGTATAGTACTGCACTTTATCATCATCGTTGGCGAAGTCACCTGGCATTGTTGCTTTCATTTTATGGACGGCACTTGTCAGACTCTCCTTTTCTTCAATGAGTTTGAGGTTATCATTTTGCAGCCTGGCAATTTCTGTGTCTGCTTGCTGTAGTTTACCAGACAGTCTAGATATTTCCAGTTGGGCCAGTTCCAAGTCTGTGAGCTTGGAGTCGACATCGATATAAACTTCAGCATCACCTCCGCTTATGTCAGAAAATGATCCCAACTCGACAAGGCTCATTGCAGCATCCCTTTTTTTAATGGTCTCCTTTCTTTTTTTCAGCCGGTCGTGTCTCACTACCTGGGTGTTCAAATCTTTCATGGCATATCCCATGTTTACCATAGGAACCCAATCCGGATCTGTATCTTTGTACAAGGCAGATGGCTTTCCTAAAACAAAGTCGTATATATATTACAAACAGTACTGACACTCAGTATGTTGGAACACAAAAAATATTACAAATACAAGTCTGTATAATTTACAATTTACATGCGAAAATGTGTATTTTTAATTTATTTATTCATTTAGTGTATGTGTCACTGCGTGAGTTTCTGTGCCATTGTTTACATGTAAGATGACAGTACCAAAATTCGCCCACCAAAACAACACGTCTTTAATATCATTCTTTGGGTTTACAATTTACATGTGTGACTGAACAGTTTGTTACTGAACTGCTGTTTCTTTCAAGTAGTATAAGACACATCGTTTCTCTCTGTTTTTTATTAGTCTAGGAACTTGTTTTATTGTAGTTGGTATTTGCCTGTATGATCAGCGATTATCTGTGCAATGAACTTTACTTAAATTTGAATATTTGAATTTTGAACAGTTTACACAGTAACCCTAGCCGGTACCGGCGATATCCACAATTTTTGAAAGAGCCATATCTGAGCAGATGGCTGTATTTTTTAAAGACACTTTCAATCCAATGCTGTCCGCTTTTCGACCTGTGTATAGTTGTCAATCAACTCTGTTGGCTCTCACCGAAGAGTGGCGGGCAGCATTGGATAGAAATGACTATGTAGCTGCTATTTTAATGGATTTATCGAAAGCGTTCGACTGTCTGCCGCACGATCTGATTCTGGAAAAATTCAAAGCTTACGGTTTGTCGGAAGGTGCTGTAACACTAATGGGAAGCTATCTCTCAAACCGTGAGAAATGTGTGCAGCTCGGAAGCAGTACGAGTACTTTTCTAAATATCACAAAGGGCGTACCACAGAGTTCGATTTTGAGACCCATAATTTTTTTAATTTTTACCTCCGCCAGGGGCGTGGCGGAGGTTATGTTTTCACCGGCGTGCCATTGAGTGTTGGTTTGTGTGTGTGTGTGTGTGTTACCATGCCCGTTTCAGTTCCCTTCCGCTAGGTGCGCTGGCTGTAGACTTACAAACACAGGCTAAGGGGCAACCACAGTCCTCCCCCACCTGCACGCTCGCACTAATCCGAATCCAATTAATTATTTAATTAATTAATTAATTAATTAATTTTTCCACTTAATTAATTGATTAATAAAAAATTTCACATTGAGAGAATTCAGCTGCCTTGGCGGAGGTCTGTGCTCTCCGAGTGCTCTAGTTATAAATGATATATTCTATTTTATAAACAAAACACGCCTCGTTAATTATGCCGATGGCAACACCCTTTCATATTGCCATCCGAAGATCGAGCAACTAAAACAAACTCTCGAAGCTGAAAGCATGTCACTAGTCGAATGGTTCTCCGACAACCAGATGGAAGCAAACCAGAGAAATTCCAAGCTCTGAGTGTCGGGAAACGGACATTCAAAAAGAAACCAGTATTTTATGTAGCCAACAATAGTATACCATGTGAGGAATCTGTCATTTTACTAAGAGTGGAAATAGATTATTTATTAAATTTTGACAAACATGTTGATAAAATGTGCAAAAAGGCCTCACAGCAAATAAATGTTCTGAAGCGTATATAGGGAAGTTTTTAACATTAGAAAGACGGAAGGCTGTGTATCATGCTTTTATTTTAATTTTTGTCCGTTGACATGGCACTTTTGTAAAAAAGCAAACACAGACAAGCTGGAAAGACTCCATTGTAGGGCATTGAAATTTGTATACCAGGAACATAACAGCTCATATGAGGAGCTTTTACACAAAAATAAAACATGTTCCCTGCACCTTGGGTGTCTCCGAAACATTGCCACAGAGACTTTTAAAATTATTCACAGACAGTGCCCAGTTTATTTAAAGGATTTTATCCACATGCGGAATTCTGTGTACTCCTTTAAATACAAAAATGTCTTAACCACACCAAATACCAGAACTGTGACATATGGCACAAATAGCTTTAGAACATTAGCTGCAAAGATGTGGAACAGTCTGCCAGAAAATGCCAGACAGACTGTATGTTTTAACGAGTTTAAAATGTTTATCAAAACATGGAATGGTTTTGCATGCAAATGTGCAATGTGCAAATGATCTTTTAATCTGCAGTATGTTTTTAGTAAATTTTTGCAGATAGCAACATCTGTAACTGTTGCTATACATTGTAAATATCCATGTATTATACCTAAAATTTATTCATGTACTCGAATGCACAGGCACTTGGACCATCTCAATAAAAAAAATTAATGGTAAATAAACACGAAATGTACCAAAATTTCTCTACTCTATTTCGCCTATAATCACCTGTAAATGCCGGTCAAATGCTCATCTGCAACGCACAAGTACACCGCAACATGCACAAACAACATGAATAAAAGAGCAGGTAGGAAAGCGTGATCGCGAAATTCGCTTGACGCTCGCTTCATTTCACACGATCACAGAACGAAAACACATCCAACAGCTCCCATCTTGGTATCTATGTGTACATAAATGTTCACTTGTTCGAATTATAACTCTGACCTTTGTTCTTACCTACTCCCGCCAGAGATATCTCGTGAAATCCTGCAGGAAATGTTCTCTCCGTGAAAACGTAAAGAGAACGAGATGTCTGTTTATACACGAGTAATGGGGCGCATTGCATGCCGGGATAAGCTGCTGCCGGCCTCCGAGCTCCATTTCGAGGCCCGCCAAGCCAAGCACAATGTGCGCGGGAATGACGTCACGCACACACGACTACAGCGATCGATCGAAAGTAGTGCCGTTAGGGATTTTCGGATGATAACGCCCTCTTTACATTTTCACGAAGTGAACATTTCCTGCAAGATTTCACGAGATATCTCTAGTGGGAGCAGGTAAGAACAAAGGCTAGAGTTATAATTTGAACAAGTGAACATTTGTGTACACATAGATACCAAGATGGGAGCTGTTGGATGTTTTCGTTCTGTGATCGTGTGAAATGAAGCGAGCGTCGAACGAATTTCGCGATCACGTTTTCCTACATGCTCTCTTATTCATGTTGTTTGTGCATGCAGCACAGGGTAGGCGTGCGGCGTGCTTGTGTGTTGCAGATGAGCATTTGACCGGCATTTACAGGTGATTATAGGCAAAATATAGAGTAGAGAAACATTAAGACTTTGGTACATTTCGTGTTTATTTACGATTATTTTTTTTTATTGAGACGTTCCAAGTGCCTGTGCTCGAATGCCTGTATAGTATGCAACTATGCATGTTTTAAAATTGTTATGTACTGTTTTATTTATTGGTCTACCTACCATTAGTTTGTCGGTCTTAAAAGCTCATCAGAGCTTATGTTTTCTCGTTGTAAACATACCGACTATAAATAAAGATTAATATTAATAAAGTTAAAGATAAATAAGTGTTTACTTGACTTGATTACTTGGCTGTATACCTACTGTACTCTGTAGCTCGAGGTAGGAAGGAAATGTGATAATCAAGCTTTCTACAAACAAAATGATCGACATTTTTACATTGCATAATAAAACAATATCTTACATACCTGATATGAAATGAGCTGAACAGACACGAAGGTTCCTGATCACCGTTTCACTCATGCCAGTACGGTTTATGGCCGCCAACCAGCATCGTCTTCGCCTGTCTGACATTTCTTTCGTCACTTCACCTTGTTTTGTGATCACAATAGGCAGCCTAAAAAAGCTGTGTGCCTTTTTCGGATACCGATTGCGGCAATTGACAACACCGCAGGAGATCGGCATGGTGAGGGATTTGAATGGCGAATAAAATGAGCAGAGGTGGGTTGCTCAATGTAACCGGTAATTGAAGTTGTACAACGCCTGAACTGCTTCTGGAACCAACATGGCCGGTGGCGTTGCATTGTGGGTACTCACGATCGCCTCGCCCCCAGTGCCCCACTCTCTGATCTCTATAATAAAATCTTATTAAGATTATATTAATAATAATAAGATTTTATTATAGAGATCAGTGGCACTGGCAGTGCCCCTGGCCTTTGTACACTCAGCTCAGTATACGGAAGCGAGGAGTGAGCGAGGATCAGGAACCGGATCAAGCACGACAGCGAGAGCGCCATCTGTCGTGGAGTTTGGTTGTTATGAGAACAGACCACTATTAAATCTTCCATAGGATCCTATACTTAAGAATTGAATTTCAGGAGCTGAAAAATAGTATTTCGGCCGTTTTCGGCGGAGTGGCAATATTAAAGCTAGGTAGCCATGTACTTCAGCTGTGCACCATTAGAGTTATGACATATGATGTCCAACGTTTTAAAAAAATATCGCGAATTTACTAATCGACACCACATTTGTGCCTGAAAAACAGTCGCACAGTCGAATGGGAGCCATACATTGAAAGAATTCGTTTTGAATTACCAGTAACCATCCACCCATCTCCATGTGCATGTTATTGACACACACGATAGCCAGCCTAAATAATGCAGCCACAAAACATCGCTTCAGCTTTAGTGCACAAGCTGCGGGCACTCCGATTGGTCGGCCGATGACGCATTACATTCTCTAACCTAACAGTAACAGGGTAATGAACCGGTAGTGATTCAATAGTGGTCACGTGTCTGTATAGAAACGTTTTTTTCTCAGAATCTGTCAAACGCAATAAAATTCGTTTCGACAAATGTAACGAGGCGAGATCGTTACCTCCCTCTACCCAGGTCCTCGGTCCGGCTAAGGGAGGGTTTCCTCCGACGGTAGTTGACAGTAACGCCGATGAATAACAAGAACACAGAATTGCAGACGCACCCGACGTACTTATATTAATAAAGAACCACTACCTATATAGCTACTGTGCGTACAATATGTGTAGCAGGCAGCGCCGCGTATCACGTACAATTTATACCTATGTATAGCTAGAGAGCCGACTCGTATGTCGCCTCTGCGCGCGCGTGTCGCGTACAAGCGTAGAAGATTACCTTAGTGTGTAGACGTTATCGATACCCGGAATCACTCGGCGGGGTACGGCTTCGGAGACAGAGATCCTGGGAGATAGAGCGTAGGAGAAGGAACAGATACCAGAAAATGGAAGACGTAGGTGACGGAGAAAAGAGAACCTACGTGGCTGAAAGAGGAGACCCGAGTGTGTGTCGCGACACGTCACGCGTTCCATTTCGCGACGGCACCATAAAATCCTAAGGCCGGTAGAGAGCCATAAAGGGACGCTCTACCTCCGCAAATTGCTCTTTTTTATGAGCACCGAACATCAAGCGATTTGCCGACGCAAGGTTGTTTATACAATCGACTTGTTTTTGGAATGGCAAACGTCTATACTACACAAACACCGCTGCACACGGGTAAAAAATTTTGTTTAATTTGCTGTTCGGTTTTTGAGTTTTGCCGATTTCTTTAACCCCACCCTCCCGGCTTCAAGGCGATTCCGGTGCCCGTCTGCTGTGCGGAATGCCAAGTCGGTGCATAGTTAGAGTAGTTGCTAGAGTTGAATAGAATTATTTACATTGAATAAAATTGCATTCACCTATGTGAAACTTGATATGCCCCCCCTGCCATGTGATCAATAAAAAATTTTTTTTTAAATTGCAAGTCGAATACGATTTCTTGGTAATTTATAATGCCACATGATCGAACATAAAAAACGGGTCAAATTTTGCAGTGGATTGAATATTTTTCTGAAAATAAAAGGGCTTTTTTGTCAAATTTGATGCTAAACGAACGCGACATGTCTTGTTGTCTGCTGTGCCAAAAATTAGCACTCGGAAGCAATCGGTTATTTTTTTATAGCGATTGAAGCGGCTGTGGGACACAGGTGGCGCTATCACATCATAGTGCTATTGGTAGACGTTCTAATTACGCGCTCCAACAATGATGGTTGGAGGCATTTTTGATCATATTACAAGAATAGGCATTTACGCTTCATTTGAAATAGAATTTGTGCAAAGGCGACAGTCAGTTTTGGAGACTAGGCGAATCCAATTTGTTTCACCCAACAAAAATCATCGCTTTCATTGTTCCACATTGCTGTGGATAGACACTATTGGTGAAGTGATCGACACAAAGGACCGTTTTTATATGAAGACATGTTCTAATAAAACAATAAATGTGGGGCACGTTCATTTCAAGGCTGTCACTCATGCAAAATTCTTCGACTGTCTGTCACTGCGTGTGTGGGGGGGGGATGGGGGGGTTAACAAGGGTTAAGCCTAGTATTGCCATGACTAAAATTTGACCGAGAGCTAGGCTTAAGTACAGTATTGACGTCAGTGTTCGAAATTCACATCGGCCCGTCGGCCCGCCGCCGACAGTTTCGATGCCGGGCCTACAGCTTTGCTGGCGGGCCTGCAGCTTTTAGAAGCTATATAGGCCCTGCAGGCCTACAGCTTTTTCTGCTCA